CAACTATTTATATTGCCTTAAGAGATAGCTGTAGCCTTCATAAAATCTTGAATTCTTTTGGGATCAACAGCGGAGTACTGATCTTTCAATTTTGTAACTTAAAAATATTTCCTTCGGGTTCTCTCCAAAGTCCGGGCATTCTGTTACTATGTGTCTAAAGGTGAAATCTGTACGTGCCGCCTCCGACTCAGAAGGGTGTCTCATCTCCCTGGACGAGGTATTTGTGGTCCAGGAAGGCATATGTTATACCTAACCGAGTAAAAACAACTTCATCTCTCCTGGAGAGGTCCGAAGGTTTTCGTGAGCCCAGTTTTGACCTTACACCGTGGAGCTTGTTATTTTGCTGTTCACTCCGGTGTTTCTCTCAGGCTGGAGATGTAGATCTTGAACTTGTTTTTGACGTCTTTCAGTAAGGGTGATTGGGGGTGGGGGGAGGGATGGGGGCGGCTCTTCGTTGATCTCTACAGAAGGGACAACGATTCCTCCGCTAGGAGATCGACCTGCTCGTTTCTTCGGATGCCCACATGGCTAGGTAGCCACGCGAACACGATATTGCTCCCCTTTACAGTCAAGGAATGTCTCTTCAACTGTATCTTAACTATTTGCGGGTGTAAGATTTACAGGATTGGCAAGTTTGGTGAGGCAGGGTAAGGAATCGAACAGCCTTAGAAAATTTGTTTTGGGAGAATTTTCTACTGTGTCCAATGCCATGTCAGTAGCAGTGACTACCGCAGAATAAAATGGAGGCTCCCCATAAATAAATAAATAAATAAATAGATAAATAAATGTGGTATGATATATATAAATATATATATATATAGAGAGAGAAAAAGGACCTTTTAAAAACTGTGCAGCGTTGGAAGGGGCGTTGACGCATACCGGACCAAGTCTATACCATTTTTGCGACGTCCGTTTGCAAGAATTTTTGTGTGTGAATACGTATTGACAGCTTTAATCTGCACTCCATGGTGCTTAATCAATGTTCGTCAAAAAGCCCTCTTGACTCGAGTGTTCATATAACAACATCTGGTGGTCTGCTGATAGATGATAGGCGTTATCTTTTGCTTACCGCCAGTCATATGGGCTGAGGAACGTGAAACCTATGCGCCAATAATAATATTTGTACTAATACTTAACTCACCGGCAGTGTATGGTGTAATGGTTTGTCCTTTTATATTTACACTCACAAGACGCGAGTTTGATTCCCGAGTGGGGAAGTGGGGAATTTAATTATGTATTTTTTTAAATTAACATTTTAAAATTAATTTTTCTTCTTCTTAGTGCTGTGGCTCTTTCAGCCCTGGCGGCCGTCCCTTGCAGACAGTATCTAAACAGCATGCTAGTTCTTTAAAAAAATTATTTTAGCCAGTGCTTGTCAATTATTTTTTCTTATAGACAGCGCCTGTTTTTATAATGCCACCTTTGAGAGGACATTTACATTTTGATATCACCCACCATCTCGTATCGCGGGCATAAAATCACGCCTGTCACAACCCTGGGTGATCCTCATCGCCGGCCAACAACTAAATTATTAAATCACCTAGATTCTACTAGATCTAGTTGGCGGTACCGCCCAGAGTTGGCGAGCAGTCAGTGATCTTAACTATGTTGATGGAGGAGTCGATCGTTTGCATTCGTAAAATTAATGTGGAAGAGTGCTCTCAATTCAGTAACTGTTGGGTTTGGGAGAAGGGTTGGGAGTGTGTGTGTGTGTGTGTGTGTGTGTGTGTGTGTGTGTGTGTGTGTGTGTGTGTGTGTGTGTGTGTGTGTGTGTGTGTGGTGGGGGGGGGGGGTGCCGGGGGCAACCTTGTTGTAATATTATGTAGTTTTTTGTTGTTTTTTTTATTCGTGTGTTCACTGTTTCACGGTTTCCTAACCGACCCCTCTCCCCACCCCACCCTATTCAAACTTTCTGTATTTATGTTAGTGCTAACGATATTTGTGGGGATTGGGTTTATGCAAGGGGCAACCTTGTATGCTATGTAGTTGGGTTTTTTTTTAAAGTGTTGTTTTCACTGTTTTGCAGTTTCCACCCTCCCCTTTCAAACTATTTCTATGTTATTTATGTAACTTTTGTTGATGTTTGTGTTCAGTTTTAGGGTAGATTATATCTGTAGTGGATAGCTGGTGTCTTACATTATCATCCTTGTGTTTTCTGCTTTCATGATAGCATGCATGCGTACACTTCCCTGTTTTTTATTCGCTATTTATCATGTTACTTGAATCAGGTATCGTCGAACCTGTCTTAGTGGTCATCTCTCCCTAGCAGTCATCTCTCCATAGCGGTCAGATGTAGTAACGATACCTGCTCCGCAACACCCTTGCATATTTCGTGTGCTTTTAAACCTGTCCCTAGCGGTCTCTGCCGAGCGTGGCCACGATCAGTCATAGGGACAACACGACCCCAAAACCTACTCAAAGCAGTCACTTGCTACAAAAGTTGTCAGTCTATGTGAAGAACCTCCTATGATAGATAACGATTTTGGTGGAAATAAAGTTGAAAATATGTTTTAAAATTTTGGATTTTAAACCATCAGTTGGCTTTGTCAGGTCTCCTAAGTGACCATAACTCAGACCCTGTTGACAGCTATGACCTGTCTTTTACAGTCAAATTTCATCTGTAATCTTGAGTGACCGTTATGGACAAGTTAGACTGCAGTGAAGGTTTTGAAAAATATATAATATTGCAATAAACTGTCAAATAGCATGCGAACCGTGTTGTATCGGTATACAGTAGCACAGTGCTTGTCAAACATTTGAAAAGCCTGCGGACACTTTTGCCACCTTCAAGAGGCTACAATTGTCATACAGCCAATCTACATGTACATTATTTACAAGAAAGACATAAAATAATAATTGTCAGTACCCAGGGGATTCCCACATCCCACCAAAATTACCAAATTGCCCACAAGTAGGGGACATCCCCCAGGTCCGCGAGCATTTCTGTAGCTGTGAAATTTGTCTCTGCTGTTTGTGTTATGTGCGCTTTTCAACTTAAAATGTCACGATGGCTCTGTAGATGTCCTGCCAGACTGAGCTGCGGATGACCCAGGGTGTGCGTGTAATTGCTTTGTAATTAGTGAAGCTGAGTACATTTATGCAATAGAAAAGTGCCCAATGGGTTACTGCGTTCTATGTCCCCATGTGAATGGGTATGGTAAATTGAAACTGACTAAGGTGACTAATGAGTTTTTAAAAAAATTTGCAAGCCACCCCCCCCTCCCCGAGGGAGTTCAAATTGACTAATGAACCAGTCCGTATGTTTATTTTAGGAATGCCCAAGAGCACATGCGCACCTCGCGCGATAAAGAACTTTAACTTTCTTTTTGAATGAGTCTTCGACGTCTATTGTGTAGACCTTATGCAGTTGCGAGCGCTGTAGAACTCTTACTTAACAAACTAAACTATTGTGTGGAGGGGACGCTTTTAATTGAGTTTTGTATCTTGGTTGTTTTGCAGGAATGTTGTATTCCTCTCAGAATAGGATTACCCTGACAGACAGGTCAACACTGGCCTCCTAAATGATCTAAATTTTGTCAATGGGAAGAAAAAACAGCTACAAAATAAAATGAAATTGAATGCGGCTAACTCCTTTCTTTAGTCTTCTTAGAAAAACAAAAATAACTCATACTTTTTTTTTCAGCCTGTCATAATATCAGTACTCACCGTTATGCTTTGCTCTTCTGACAGGTCCACTCACTGTCCTGTGCATGGTTTAAAGCTTTCTATGTTCGCTTCCCCTTTTTATCAGTCTTTTAATTTTTTTCTCTTACAATGAATGTTAATGCTGTTATGTACTCTTTCAATGGTTTCTCTCTCCGCATCATTTCAGGGTGGGGTTACAATGATATTATTACATCATGTGTGATCATTTCGGGATGTGTTTGGAATGATTTGATTACATCATATTTTCGACAGCTTCGTGGACTTTGATTGGATTATCTTTATTAATCAATGTCGAGATAATTTCTTTTTGCTACTAGAGACTGACCATAGTGTGATTCTTTCAGGGTGTTTGAAGAAAAAACAAGGAGAAAAGAAAAACAATTGTGTTTGTCACTAAGCTGCAACTTGCTCTCTTCAATGGGGGCTGAAAAGAATAGTTGAATGGGGAGGGAGAAGGGGGGGATCAAAGCTTGTACCGGCACAATGACTTATATGTGTCTAGTAGGACTCCTACGGAAGAGCTGGATGACTAAAAGAACTTTCTCTCTCTCTGGGTCTCTCTGTCTCTTTGTCTGTCGCTGTCTCTGTTTTCTGTCTCTGTTTCTGTCTCTGTTTTCTGTCTCTGTCTCTCTCTCTTCCCCCCCCCCCCTTTTTTTCTCTTGAATTGTCAACAAAACAGTCAAAAGACTTGGAACTCACTCACTCTCTCTTTCTCTCTTTCTTTCTCTCTCTGTCTCTCTCTGTCTCTTTGTCTCTCTGTCTGTCTCTGTCTTTCTGTCTGTCTGTCTGTCTGTCTGTCTGTCTGTCTGTCTGTTTGTCTCTCTCTCTCTCTCTCTCTCTCTCTCTTTCTCTCTCTCTCTTTCTCTCTCTCTCTCTCTCTCTTTCTCTCTCTCTCTCTCTCTCTCTCTCTCTCTCTCTCTCTCTCTCTCTCTCTCCATCAAAATAAAAGTCGAATGACTTGCAGCACTCATTTAATCTTTTTTTCTCTCTTTTGTTCCTCCCCTAGGTTTGCTGGAGACGGTCAAGCAGTCAGACCCAGCCACGTGGTCACTTAACCCTGACCAGTTTGGCGACCTGGCTTCTTCCCTCAACAACTACTTCAACCAGGCCGCACTCTCGCAGAGTCAGAATAGGGGAAGCGACAGCGGTACACTTTTTTTTTTTAAAGCAAATCCGTAGAATGCTTTCAGATTTTGTGGTAACCGTTATTAAACAGTAATAATAATAATAAGAAGAAGAAGAAAAAGAAAAACAAAAATAATAATAATAATGATAATAATTGCATATATTTTGTGCACATCCATGCTCTTTAGCATGCTCTATGCGTTTTACAACTACTTCTTGAATGAAAAACCTCGCCAATTTCTATTACGTGAATCCTGGTCAAACCCCCCTTTTTAACAAAACATTTTATTTCAATGAAAACGCCAACATCTACCTATCTAATACCTAGTACACACTGCCAGTCGGATTCATTGGACTGAGTCGGGGCCATCCAGATGTTCCTTTATTTTATTATAATTGAGACAAATGATTTCTAGATAATTTATTATTGTTTAGATGACGGAACATATTCAGCATCCTTATCACTGCTACTGAGTGAGTCAGGATTGTAAAGTTAAGTTTTTAATAACCTAATAGTGTTGACAGGGGCGTTAAGCCCACACCATTTCACCATTTATAAAAGGTTAAGTTTGAAAATCTTGTGGCTCAGCCAGGTTTCTCTTTCTACCTTCCTCCATGCTGGCGTGATACCGGAAAATGTCGCATATTCAGATTTGTATAAATAGAAATGGAAATGGTTGTTGTTTTGAAAACTGAAGCCATGGTAGTAACAGGTGTTCTGCTTGTAGTATAGGAAAAACCCTTTCCCATGAGCTGGATGCTGTTGAAGGTGCTTGTGTGGTAGGCGGGTGCTCTGGCGTGATTTGCTCCTCCTTTCCTATCAAACATCGATCGTCCTTATCTCTCGTCCTTGTTTGTGTTTCTTACTCTCTTGTAATACTTATAATCTTTCGCACTTATATGACCTTATTACCTTGCAACTGCTGTAAAACTCTTATTAAAACTGAGCAAGGACTGTGATGACGGAGTCGGATGTTGCAAAAAAAAAAATTAAAAAATATTGCTAATGTTGCAATGACAGGAGTGAGTCATTGAGTTAAAGATGGGTATTGAAAACTGTCCCTAATTTTCTTTTTTATTTATCTTATTTTTAAGATACAAGTGTTTTTATGCTCAAATCGACATAATTTGGATCATCAGTTAGAGCCAGTCTAGGCTGAGAGGGACACAGCATCTCAGCAGAAAGACCGAGATACTCAATAAAAATGCTCGCCACTCAAGAATGGAACTCGGATCCCCTGCATGCGCCATGCAGCATTGGAGCGCCTAACTGCTGCACCTGAGATGCTGGTCCCCCAGTTTTTGTCGCATTCACAATTTAATGATAAAAAGAAATGAGATTGTGGGACGAAAGTGAAGATTCTGTGTTTTCTTTCTAAGCTCTACCAGGTTCATATCAGACTATGCTCTGGAAGATGAAGATACCTGATAAATAATATGTTCTTGACCCAGGAAACAAATTCATGTCTTTTTTTTATGTATGAAGAAAAAGTTTCTGTTGCAGCACAGTCACCATATTAATAGTGCTAACATTTGGAGACAAGCTGACATAATGATTTACTTCTCGGATTTTATCCCCATGGATATGGATGCGTCAAATTTATTGGCTGAGTTTGTAAAATTCATTAATAGGAAATATACATGTCAAACTTTAAGAAAATGGGATAAGGTGAAAGTCTACAAGTTTGACCCCTGTGTTGATTTTCGGCTGATATCTACATTCATGGATTGCGAGAAGTAACTCAATTTGTCAGTATGCATCACATTTGTACACATTTTTAGATGATAATTCTATTACTCTTCAGGACACTTTTTAAAGATTTCTAAATCGTGTTCTTATTTCTATTCTCAGGTGGTTTCCTGAATCCACCCAGTACCACAGTGCCCCATTCAGCTATTCCACCCAATGTAGGTTTCTCTCTTATTCCACTTGTATACATCTTGTTTGTTTTTTTTAAAAATTCATAATTGACACTTACATCTTATTTTTTTGTTTATAAATTCATAATTGAAACTTACATTTTTGTGTGTTTTTTTTATAATTCATAATTGACACTAACATCTTATTTTTTTGTTTATAAATTCATAATTGAAACTTACATTTTTGTGTGTTTTTTTTTATAATTCATAATTGACATTAACATCCATCTTGTTTGTGTTTACGCCTTTGACAAGAACGTTTTGTTTGTGTTCAGCAGGTGGTTGGAGAGCATCACTGGAAGGTTCTGCCTTCTCTTTTCTTTTCTTCCCTTTTGTGGTTTGTCTTTCTTTTCCTCTGCTTAAAATGGTCGTTGTTATGTTTTTTGTGCCTCTCTTTACTCAAACAATGAACAAACTTTTTTTGGGGTTTTTTTTTCATTGATAAGTGCATCTTGTTTGTAAATTTTACATTATTGACTCATAAAATGTAACATCTTGTTTATGAGGTTTTTATCGTTGACACATAGTGTCACATCATGTTAAGAAACTTTATGTCATTGACAGGTAACACAACATCTTGTTTATAAGTTTTATAGATGGCAGTTGGCGGTTGTGGTGTGCTCCTTCTTTTCTATCCAACACTTTTCTATCGTCCTTATCTCTCCTACTCCTCTTTTGTGATTGTCACTCTCTTGTAATACTTTAAAAAGGCTCTTGTAACGAAGATTATAAGTATTATGAGAGAGTAACAAACATAATATTCATGAACACCGATGCGCCCCAAGGTTGTGTAATATCCCCAATGACTGTGCATTTTATAATGAAAACATTAAACTAATAAAATTTGCTTTTGATTCCACTCTACAAGGCCTTGTAACAACAAATGAGAATGAATACAGGGACGCTGTAAATGTATTTACAAAAATTGGTGTGATAACCACTTCCTTTTACTAAATGTAAAAAGACAAAGGAATTAATAATAGACTTTAGAGTAAAAAAAGACCAGTTGCAACCACTATGAAAGATGAGGAGTTGGAGATGGTAAGCTCATACAAGTATCTTGGTGTAACAGTTGAGAACAAACTTGACTGGCATCCCCTTTGCATAAAAAAGTAAATTAAAGAATGTTCCTTTTAAGGAAATTAACAAATTTCCGTTTTGATAATAAGATTATGTCCCTTTTATACGTTTCTATGATTGAAAGCGTGCTATTATTTTGAATTTGCTTCTGGGTCGGGAATTGTAAAGTGAAAGATAAAGAAAAATTTGACAGAACCATTAAGAAAGCCAGCAAGTTCTCAGGATGTGATTTTACTAGAATTGATGAAATGTACAACACCACACGTATAAAAAAGATGAAGAGCGTTATAAACGACCCATCACACCCCCTTTCCTCGCAACTTGTAAGATCATGCAGCGACAGATATGTATCTCCGAAAACAAAGAAAGAAAGAGATAAAAGAAGTTTTTTACCCTCTGCCTCTAGCACAAGGCTATTGTCAGAATGAGCATTGATGTGTGTTGCTCTTTAGGGTATGTATCTATATAACTCCAAAGGTCTTGTTATTAAATTCCTGCCTGTGGCTGAATAATGCATCTGATGTGAATGTACATTTTGTCAGATTTACTTTCCTTTTCACATTGAATTTTAATAAGAGTACTATATAATTTTAATTTTTAATGTATACCTGCATGTGTTTTTACGGTCCTGTAGAGCCAACAAAAATTTCCCTCTAGGATACTAAAGTATAATCTTATCTTATTTAATCTTGAATCTTATTCACTTAAATGACCTAATTGTATTGCAAGTGCTGTAAAACCCTTACTAAGAAGATGAGTTTTTCATGTGACATCTTGTTTTGTATCATCAACACATAACATCTTGTTTGTGTTCTGCTCCAGGTGGACCGTGCTGTGACTGGCATCCAGGGAAACCCCAACTTCCTGCATGCGGACGAGATCGACGACGACTTCGAGTGGGACAAGCTGCTGTGATGGTATCAGCCCACGAAGCGACGGTGGTGACGAAGACGACAGACTCCGATAACTCGACACTGACGCCGATGACTCGACACAGACGCACTGTCTCTCACCAGAGTCGTGACGATATACGGTTGAGATGGACGAACAGACAGACCGACAGACTGACAGATGGACAGACGGCTCTATGTGGTTAGGACTTCCTGCCATTTCTGTTCCCAGGCCGCGCCGTTTGTGATGATAACGGAATGATAGAAAAATCTGTTCACATGGAATTTTCTGAGTTAAAAAAAACACATAGTATTTTTTAAGCTGTAAGGTTCGGTTGAGTTTATAACATGATCAGAGGTGTTGATTTTCAGGATAAATAAAAAAATCCAGATTTCTAAAATAATACAGATATTGCACCATATATGAACAGTTTTGCAACAAAATGAGACATATATCCATTCTACCGTTTTGAAAAGAACAAAAATATATTTTCGTCATTTATTAACTGAACAAACCTGAAGAACTTTGTTTTTAGTGGACTGGTGATGTACACCATAGTTGATTTGTGTCGTTTGTTGAAATCTATGTTGGACTTTATTTAAAGTGATGTTATATCCACACTTCTTTTTAACAAAATGCTACATAAACACATTGATTTGAGACATAATGAGACAAATCCATAAATTTCAATTCGCATTTTTTATTTTATAAATCTTTATGATTAACCAGTAGAAGCTTAGTAAAACACAGTGATCAATGGAAAGAGTGAGACGTTTGTCCGGAACCAGGGTTTAGGTCTGTGGAACGGGGTAGGGAGTTCTTTCTTCGTGGCAGACGGATATGTGTTGCCAGTGTGTTCATGCCATATTATTATCCTCGAGACATTGCCCGACTGGCTCTATTACGTGACGTGGTTCTGGTTGCTTTTTGGCCCAAGGGTGGTTTGGGTTTTTTAATTTGTTTTATTCAGGATGTAAATGTTGAAAATTGTTTGATCCTAGGGGAGTAGTGAGTGAGTTAGAGAGAGAGAAAGAGAGAGAGAGAGAGAGAGAGAGAGAGAGAGAGAGAGAGAGAAACAGAGAGGGAGACAGAGAGAAAGAGAGAGGGAGACAGTGAGAGATGTGATATCATTCAATATACAGTAATACCCAATAGATCTGAATTTTGTACATAGCTAATAAACATTAGTTCTTGTTGGACTCAAGGGTTATGCTTCTCTTTCTTCGAGACACAATTCCTGTAAATGTTTTTTTTTTCCGTTTAAAATTTTTTTTTTGTATACAATGTAATTGCGGGATCTCCCGAAATCTATTTTATTTTCATTCCATTAAACCATGTGATCTGCATTGCCATTGATGCGTGTGCTAAAACATTCCATCCCAAATGTCATGTATTAATGTAGCAGACTATAGCAAAAGTTTCTTTTTTACATGGTTTTGTGGGGCAACCAGTCCCTGCATGTGAAAAACAAATTGATGAATATTTTTCACAGATTTCATAACTTTTGTGTACATAGTTTATCGACAATTTATCTTTTGATATAGAATAAATGTGCTGATTTTTTTTCTCTCTCAGTTACAAGAAAGTGCAATTTCCATTGTTTGATTTTTCATCTGCATTTTTGACCACTTTTGTGTGCATTGATCTGTTACCAATACTGACATTTTTACTTCACCTATGCACACCTTTTTCCCCCTCCTACTTTAGCATATTATTTTACTTTTTTTTACCTTTTCTTATTGTATGAGTGTCTGCCATCGTGTTGGTATGAAGGAAAATCAATTCAGTGCAGTAAAATGTTTGAGAAAGTGCTCTGTCAGCTCAATTGATGTCATGTTGGGTAAAGCATGCAGGTGTCCCTGGTTTGAATCCAGACGGGATGTTTCCTGACTTCAGGTGCTTGGCTTTTTGAGGTTCTCCGACCGCTTGGCTCAGTCATAACGGAGATCATTGTTCCTCTACACTTCAAAGTACCTTACAGTGTTGAAAGTGATGTTGGATCTATATGACACTTTGATATCAGGTTCATTCACTCTATAGGGTTCCTTTAAAATGACATTGTGCAAGACTTTGCTGGTTTATCTATGGAATCTCTTGTGGAGAATACTATTTGAATATGGGAAAATTCTGCAAGAGAAACAACAAATTTTAAAAAAGGAAATATGACCTGTCTGTTTTGGGTTTTTTTTCCCTGTGGAGTCTTCATGTGTGTGGGAAGTGCTTTGTCAGTTGTGGAGTCTTCATGTGTGTGGGAAGTGCTTTGTCAGTTGTGGAGTCTTCATGTGTGTGGGAAGTGCTTTGTCAGTTGTGGAGTCTTCATGTGTGTGGGAAGTGCTTTGTCAGTTGAAGATGATCTTTCTTCTTTTTAGTCAGGTCTGTGGTATCTGTGTTACATTGAAGTTGTTGTTTTTGAACAACCTTGAAGTAACTTCCAGGACAATTGAGTGCTGATTTAGCTTAAGGTATCTTTTTCATTTTTGATAGGACACAGTGTTTTATCTTTTTTTTTTCTAAAAAAAAACAAAAAACCCTTAACCTAAATTGGGATTAATAATAATGTCAACTGAAAATTTTTTTTTTTACATTTATTTGTTATAAAATGGACTTTTTAGGAAACTTCTAATGTAGGGGGGGGGGGGGGGGGGGGCAAATCGGTGACGGTTGGATGGGTCCAGGTGTTCCTGTGGTGCACTTGTTCGTGGCCTGTCCTTTTGTGTTCTGGCACCTACCACTCTTTCCTTCAGTTTAAGGTCCATGTGAGACCTAAAGAGTTGTTGCATAGCCCAACATGTCGGGTTGTAAACACTTGTAAGCCTATGTGGAGGGTAGTTTACATTATTGCTGTAGCAAGAAAAAAAGAATGACTTCACTTAATTCTGTTTCACAGGGGTGAGTAAAAAGACATTAGGTGTTACTTTTTTCTAAATGTTTATGAAGGGATGGGGAGCTGTAACGACATATTTGTATGTGAAATATAGACTTTACAGTATTTTTAAAAAAATTGAATCTTCCTTGTTTGTTTTTTTAGTTTCCTCTGAAATCCATTATGTTGAAAAATAAAATAAGTTTATTTATTTATTGGTTGATTACACTTGGTCTGTCCGTCCATGATAATAATGCTTATTATTATGCAAAGTATTTTGTTGTTTCAAGCATAGCAATTTGGTTAAGAAGCAAAAAAAAAGTATAATATATCCATGTCTATTAGCAGCATTGTGAATGTTTTTGCTGAGCGAAAATACAATTTTATTTATGAGAGACGTTAAATAACTTGCCTGTGATACCTGAAGTTATAAACCCAACAACAGGGTTGCTAAGTGGCACAGACTCTTGTGACCTTTGACCTGTGTTATTTTTATCTTGTGGCCTAGCCCACTCTGTATTTTGAGTGGTTATTAATGATTCGTCTTCTTTCTCTGATGATTATACAATCGTATATTTTGATTACACAATGCATCTGTGTGTATATTTCGACTCTTTATTTACTTCAAAGTCCCTTTTCTTTTTTTCTTTTTTTTTTTCTTATTGTTCTGCAAAAGTACATTCCTTTCTTTGAATATGTCTCCTGCTTGTGTCTTCTGTATTCTTTCATTCCATCTCTTAAAAATAAGTGTTTGAGATAAAACATTCCGATTGTTGCTCAGTTTTTCATGTTTTTGATATTTGTTAATCCCATGCTCTTTGCCGAAGCCAAGATAGAAGCTGGTGCCTTCCCGTTCAGGCTAGAAGTGCTTGCGAAAGGCTTTTTGATAAATTGGGCCGTGTTCGATATTTAAACTCTTGTCCTTTTGATCGTTGACAGGATCTTGAATCATTACTGTTGTGAAATATTTGGAGAAAAAGATTGCTCTAACCAATGGTTTTGAAGTGCTTTGATTCATTTTCTTTCTTAAACAGCTTGTAGGTCATGAAGCGAATAATCTGCTCCTTCTTCTGTGTTTTGCACTTTTCGGAAGAAATTTGTTTTGTTACATAGCAGAATTATTTATAGTCAAAATGTAGGTGCAGATGTATCAATATGAGGCTTGCTGGAGGGCTGTTGGTAGCACCAAAGTTAAATTGTCGCTTTTAAGGACAAGAGGGCTAAACCAGATTTCGGGGGTTTCAAGAAATCTTGACCTACACCAAAAGTGGGCATTGCCCTACCTATAGGAAAAGTTTGGTTTCACTGGTGCGTGTATTTGATTATAGAGAAAACTCTCCATGACTTTCAAAGAAACTGAACAATGGGCAAAAACTTTACCTTCGATTTTCTCAAAACAGCGGTTTTCAGGATAGCCCCCTTGTGCTTAAAAGTGACGAAATATGTGTCTAAGTCACTTATATTTATGGTGTGGTGGTTCTGCTCTTCACAGCTGCATTCGAAAAATGCAAACACAATTCTAATTAGAGGAAGTCTACTTCATCGAGTATCTTCATCTGTTTGCTGTGATGCTGTATCCTCCTCAGCCTGGATGGGCCCTGACCAACAGGGTCAAAGCAGCCTGCCTCTTAGATGAGGTAATTTGGTATCAGTTATAGTGTTTAATAAGTACGGTCAAGAGTCAAAATCTACTCTGAATACAGAGAGAGGTATTACTTTTCTGTTACATTTCCTGCATGTGCTATGCATAGAAGTTTATCATCCCTTTTTACAATTTTTGCAGTATTTGTATTTGTTTTATAAGATCCCTGTAGCTTCCGAAAATCATTCTTGATATGTTTTGCTTTTATGGCTTTTTAGAAAACAGATGTCATCATCACATTTATCAAATGGTATGTTTTACCGTAGAAAAAAATACACTTGAGACTTGGATATGGTTGGTCATATTTAATCAGAGAGAAAATGAAGTGAGTGACGACGCCGTAGCAACAAAGCGTTAACTGTAAGTTACGTAATGGTGCGATGTGGACAATGTTGGAAAGAGCCGAAGATCAGAAGAAGAAAAGTTAACTAGTTACTACCATGATCCTGGCTGAGGGTATATAGATACGTTAAAACTGGTCACGCAGAACTGGTTCACCTGCCTTCTTGGTGTTTTTTCTGATACATTCTCTCTGTGACGTACGGCAGTCATTTTCGAACTGGTTTCAAGTTCCCTCTTCCTTTAGCTGCCATCTTCTGTCGTAAGTTTTTAGATTTTGCTCTTGATTTATGTCCCTCCAGATGGGGGGGGGGCATCTAAGTAGCCTGATGATTGGCAAAAGTTCCTATGTGGTTTGCTCCCTCTTTCTTATTCAAATATCTATCTTTCCTATCTGTACTCCTTCTTTTCTTTGTTTATTACACCTCTAATCTTCAGCGCATATATGAGCTGATTGTGTTACAGGTTCTGTATAACTCTTACTATAAGAAAACAAGTAGCCTGATGGAGGTCAACCTTTACTCTTTCTGACTTTTTTTCCCTCTCAATTAAAAAGTGTTTTTTTCGGTTGTTGTTGTTTTTTTCGGTATTCTCCCATACATGGAGAAAATTGTTGCTGATGTGTTTTTTTAAAATGGGTTCTTCACCTTGACTTTGAGTATTGAAAAGAGACGTTTTTGAATATCATTCGCTCGTCCCCTCTCTCAGTCTATGATTTCTTTGTAGTTTTCCTTTACCCTTCAGCAATATTATTTTTGTATTATCTGGTCTGTGGTCATCTGTCCGTCCATTACAGACATAATAATTTTTTTCCATATTCATTAGTGTGCCATGTGCACAAAGAATATTTTTGACGGCTCTACATTTTTGGCTCTGTAATACACTTGCGTCCACTTGATTTGCCTTAAGGGCTGTATCGGAGAGAGAGACGCTTCTGCTCATCGTTATTCTGACAACATTCTAGTAGGAGCTCAATACAGTTGTGAACCCCGTTCGCAAGATGTCATTGGTATATTGTACATCGTTGCTGTTTCAAGAAAACTGAGCAACTCTGGTCCTGTTTCATTCATAGGATAGAAATGGTTTAAGAGTTTAGAGTTACTCATTTTTCTTGTGACAACAATGATATGTATTTGGGCCCATGTTTTAATTCTTTAAATACTGTATCAGTACAAGCCGCGAAGGTTTGGATGTAAAACAAAGGTTCTGCCTGTTTTTGTTATTCTTCTATACCCCTATGCCTTGATCCATGATGTGAAGATGACAGCCTTTCAGTTTTTGCTTGCCTTGTGTTTCTTCCTCCTGTTTTCTGGTTGCTTTGATGACGGAAAACATATGAAGAGTAAGTGGGGGGGGGGAAGCAGCGAGGATATGGCATGAGTCACAATTTTTCAATTTCTGTAATTGTCTGTCATCATGGATTGTTTGGCCCCTGTCTTTTAAATGAAGTAAATTGTGTCATGGGGGGAGAATATTGACAACACTTGTATCTGAAGCAGAACATGTGTTAAGTACATTTGCATGTTAGTGTTTATAAATAAGAGACAAATACCTTGATGGCATTGATACGTGCACATTGGAGTTATGTAAATTGATGACAGTGGTATCTGCATTTGGGAAGAATATGCATTGATGGCACTCTTGAGTACACGTAGGAGGGGTATACATTGGCGCCTTTGATGTTTACTTATGAGAGAAATATAATACATTTCTGACTTCTGATGTCTTCACAGTTGAGGAATTTACATTGATGAAACTGGGAGGAAAGTACATAGGTGGCTCTGATGTTTCCTGTATTTAAAAAGGTGTTCCTGTTCTTGTTTTAAAAAAATGTATCTCATGTAAATAGTTCATTTTTGTAAGCTGCTAAAATGGTACACTTTTAATTATTCTTTGTTGTATAATGTCTTAATGTGCAATGAGTTGAACTGCTGAGAGAAAAGGTAGGTACGTGTCCGATATTCAAGAAAGGCCACATCAATGAGTACCGTAATCATTACCTGTATTAGTGAATTTTGTCAACTCTTGAGAGTTCAGATAATGTGATGGAAGTTTATAGGGTAATGGTTAGGTTGTTCACCGTTGTCCACAGAAAATGTGAGTTTGATTCCGGTATGAGGAACTGATTTATTTGAGCTGCTCCATCTGTCTGCTGGGATGTTGTGTAACACTCAGCTGCTGGCTTGTCCCTGGCAGGCCGGGCTGAGACAGCGGGTCACCAAAATGATCTAAATTCCGTTGATAGGAGTGTAAAAACATTTACAGTCATGCACAATCGCATGATGTCTGCAGCCATATAGCCACAAAAACCCAGAAGATGACAGCCTTGACTACCTTTTGGGGAAGAATTCTTTAGAGAGGCTTATTTAAGATTCCAAGATATTGTATTGCTTTATATACATTTGTCTTTTGACGTACCATTTCTTTGCTATTTGCTTTGACTCTCAATAATTCACCCGTCCTGAGATCACAAAGTGTAGTCGCGAAGTGTTGCTTTGTGTGTAAGTGAGCTGTATGTAAAACTTTTATGTAAGCATTAGATTTGTGCCTGATCAGCTGGTGTATTTGTTGATTAACTGCAACTGGGACCCTGATATTTCGATTGAATTACATTTATTTACATTGTTAAATTTAAACCTGTACTTCTGTAAAAAGCAAAGACAAGGTTATATTAACTATATGAGAAGTTGTACGAGCTCAGAAATTATTAAATGGTGAAAAGTTGTAGAAAGTTTGATATTGTTATTGAAGTTGACACAGTGAAATGGTATGCAACTTTTTTGCAATAACTACTTTTATTACTGTAAATTGTCATACAGAAGACCTCTGACTTTTTATTTTAGCGGATATTGATTTGATAAAGTCTTGTGTGTGTTTGTAGCCCAAGATATTGGAAAACCCAGACGGTCTTAGCTGCTTCAAGGGACATGCCTACATCCTTTCTCTGTATCATTTGCTACCTGTTCAGCTTCTCGCTGTCTGCGTTTTGACATCCTTTCCGTTGCTGTGTTAAAACAAAAAAAATGTGTTCAAATGTAATTAATCAATCTCTTTTTTGTGCATTCATTGTTTTGTTTTTGGTTTTTAATAATTATATCAATCTCCTTTTTGTGCATTCATTGTTATTTATAGGGCTTTTTTGTCTTATGTTTGTAAAGAGACTTTTGCTGTTAACAATAAATGTTTAAATCAGCTGTGTTTGTGATGGGTTGCGTATGTCTTGGGAGCGGTATTGTTTTCTTTTTCTTTCTTTTTCTTTATTTGATTGATTAAAAAAGATTATTATTGTTTTACTGTTCGAGCTTTTTGTCAGGAAACGTATCATGTCAGATATCACATG